GTCACTTACCCAGAACAGGTCCTGGTTCTCAGTGGAACTAGCCCGCTTGATGCTTCCGTCTGCCGTAACCACTTCTACCTCGACGACATGGTCGAGCAGAGATCCCCACATCCTAGACATGGCACCAAGACCACCCTAGCAGACTGTCAGTACGCAAAGTCACACCCTGGGTCAATAGCACTCACAATGGTAGCATGTCCACCGATGCCCACGCCCGGACAAGACCCGTGTGCAACCGCCCGTTTACCGTTGTCATGTAATCTCGTATTCAGATCGCCAAGAAGCGTACCAGCCCCGACTGTTGCCTGCCATGTCTTCGTGTCCACGCTGAAGTCCTGGAAATGGGTCATATCGATAGAGATGGCCCCATCTTTACCGCCCAGCCCGAAGTTCCCATATGAGTGACCTCCCGACTTTGCTTGCACCTTGACATCGTTCGCGACCGCGCATTTGACGATAGCTGAGATATCCTGCGCTGTCGTAGGTCGGATGACAGCAACTGGGGTGACTTCTATGTCGAGGTTGTATGGCTTGACCCAGGCTATCTGATATAGTGGGTTACTTGGATAGCTGACGCAATTCGTCCTGTTGTTGCAGACGTTGTTCAGACATGTCTGTAGGGAACTCCCCGAGTTGCCCATGCCAGCAGGATCGAGCCGACGATAAGAGATAAGGAAGTAAAAAAAGTTGACCGACGATGGCCAGAGCACTGTTAATGATGAAAGGATACCTGTAGTAGCAAGAACTTCAAGCCAACCGATTGGGGAATAAATCAGATGATGCAACAGAGATACGAACTGAAAAGGAGATTCCGCTCCTACAAAATCATTTGAAGAGTATTCACCATTGTTCACGGGTCAACCGGTGACGTTGTGAAAATAATGAGAGCGAGTTAAGGTTGAGGTCCTGCCAGCGGGGATGCCTTGCATCCGGACTGTTCAAGGAAGCCACGTCCGAACAGAGCATGGACCTTGTGCCATTGGGTCCAGCAATGCACAGAGCCCAAGACGATCTTAGACGTGCTTAAAAGAGGGCTGATATGCGAGGTCTCGCAAGAGGCCTTACTGCTCTTGGAAGTATAAATCCTCCAGGTATATGATGGGCCGGTGGACCTGGAGGCTGGGTTTGGGGTCCCAACCGATGCACGCCACGGGCTGAATTGCGTCTGATGCATCATAGCGCAAACAACACGGCATCACAGTTGCCGTATGGCCAGCATAGACGAGTTTCAGAGTTTGGGAGCGAGCCATAGAGTCTTGATGAAGTTTGGAGAAGTTCACAAGTGAGCTGGCAATCCTTCACGTGGCCATGACGATTGTGCGGAGGGAAACATTTTGGAGAGCCGAAGTTGCGCTGTTCGTCCAATTCAGCGTCTCATTTAACGAATCATCATGCGTCCTGGGGGTACCAGTTCGAATGGGGATCCCGACCACTTGGACCCCTCACCACCCGCTGGTTGGCTGGGCTTGGCAAGTTGGGGTTCAATTTCCCCACCCGTTTTAGGCTTCTGGAAAGCAACAAGCGAGGACGTGTGTCCAGCCAGCCCTTCTTGCGGCGTGTGCATCATGTTTCGACGTGGCGCCTCTGAGAGCCATTGGATTTTCTCCACTACAACCGCTATAAAGGGCGTATTTTCTGCGGAATACGTGTACTCTCGTGTTGGAATTGCCTCAACGATGCTTACATGGCGGGCAGTATTGGTATCGGCAGTCGATATTCCGGCGAGGGAGAAGCCAGCAGGAAAGGGCGGTGAGACAGCATCCTGGGGTCTTTCGACACCGGTCTGCTTCCACGGTCAGCTACCTAGCTTATACTACTGCACGCACCTCTGGCTGTGCTGTGTAGACCGGTCAAGAAAAGGGCTGGGTTCTGAGCAGCCATGGCTTCGTGTCTTGACAGCCGGCCGGGACCTGCAAAAGCTGGCAAAAGACCCTGGTGTCGTGCGGTCGGGCGGGAATGACCTCGTTTGAGATCTGATACCCGTGCTCACCGATATTTGCTAATAAACGCACTCAAACCATTTGTTTACCTACGTCATCTCCCTCTTTCTCACCTTGGCTACCTTTTTGGCCGCTTGACAGGTTTGCACGTGGATTGGCAACTGCTACGTGTCCGGCCATTGCTCACACGTCGTCTGCTAGGTCGCTTATCAAACATCATAGGTGTGACTATCTTTGCCCCTGGGCCACGACCATCGTTTCTACTTTCGCCTCATGGATACTTCGGCCTTGACTGGCCAGCACATTATCTGGATGGACAAGTGTCCACTCTACTTCTACTGCAAGCCCTTGGACACCGGATTCAAGTGGATGTTTGGCTAGATGTTTGGCAGAATGTCTGTGACAGCAAAACAACATTATGGCGGAGAGTGACTGCCATGGTTGTGCAACTTAGGCAACAAGACCAAGCATATGCCCTCGGGGATGATTGGGAGTATCCCTGAGAATCCAGCCACTTCGGGAGCAAAAGTCTGGCATCACATCCTCCGCTCCTGGACCTTCGCTGCTCTGGTTCCTGCATGGGACTCAAGGAGCGCGTAGAAGTCATGGAAGACCAGCTAGACTGTGATCTTTGAGATCAAGGCATAGCGGAGATGGATCCGTCTTCTGCTCCTGTGTAGTGTATCCTGTTATTGAATAATATGTACCCCACAACCAGACGTATTCCTCGACTGGGAAACGGCCGGTTTTGGCATTATCTTTTAGGGGACAGAACTTGCTAGACGGTTACTATGGACTCAGCGTCTTAACAGAACATGTTTTCAGGACAACAATGGATCTTCTGCTAGGCTCTTTTGATACTCTCGCTCAATCACCTCCGTCCTGTCCTTGCTCCTTTCGTGCAGATCGAACTCAAACCGATTAGGTGCCACATTGAACCCAACGCTGAAATCATACTCTGGCGGGATGATTTCCCTCCCCTGTCCGTCCTTCTTCCGTCCAATATTTGTTCCCCATGCCAGATATGCCACCTGCAGACTAGCACTCGCCTCGGCAATGTTCATGCCCTGGCATAATCTCCTTCCATGGCCGAAACCAGAGAATGATTGGAGATTAGGGTAGACAGTCAATGGTTCTCGGTAAGTCGGATATTTTGCATCCAACCATCGTCTGGGGTTAAATGTGTCCGGGTCGGGGTAGAGTTCCGGGTCTCGATGTATCGCCCACTGGACCGGATGGACAATCGTTCCCTTCTCGATGAAGTACCCCTGATAGACATCGTCCTGCGTAGACTTGTGCGGAAACCCGCCTCCTGTGACGGGGTAGAACCGGAAAGTCTCCTTGATGCAAGCCCTCAGCAGCGGGAGCTGCGGGAGATCGTCATATGTCGGCAGCCTGTCGGGTCCAACAACCCCGTCCATCTCCTCTTGCAGCCTCCGAAACCACTCCGGATTCCTCACCATGGCCAAGACAAACGACATCATCAGACTACTCGTACTCGTCGCCGCAGCATCAAACACGCTCCCAAACATCCACGCCGCCTCTCTCTCACTCAGCCCCCACTTCTCCCTAGTCTCCAACCACGTCCTAGCAAACGACCTCACATCCTTGCCAGCCTGCATGTCCCTCCTCGTCCTCTCCACCAACCCCGTAAAGAACTCCTCATCCTTTACCCTCTTCTCCTTCAGATACCTCTTCCACGGCGCCATCCAGTCCGGCAACCCCATCATCCAAGGGAACACATCCACGAAATAATTTCCCGGACTCCCCACCCTCTCCAACTCATGCACAATCCCCAATATCCTCCTACAGTCCTCATCATGCCCGTTCTCCAGCCTCTGCCCATACAACAACCTCATCCCCAACCCGACACTAAGCCTCTCCAGTATCGCCTGGTAATCCCCCGGCGTCCGCAGGATATCCCTCACCATCCTGACCGCCTCGATGCGCTGCTCGGGGCGGTACCCCGCCGCGACGCTGGACATGGTGAGCTGATGCATGAAGCGGCGCTCGCGGCGCCATTTCTCCCCGTAGGGGAGGAAGAGCATGAACTCCCCATCGCAGAGGAGCTGGGTGGCGGCGGGCGCGAGATAGCGGTCGGAGTAGATGGTGCCGCGTTCGCGCAGGAGGTCGTTGGCGATGGACTCGCGGCCGAGGAGGAGGTGGTTCTGGCCCGCGATGGTGAGGCGCACGAGGGGGCCGTAGTGGTCGGTGAGGGCGCGGAAGTGGAGCCAGGAGTGGGATAGGGGGAGGGAGAGGAGGTTGCCTAGGAAGGGGAGGCCTGGGGGAGGGAGTCAGTTGGTGCATTGGTTGATGGTGTAGGAGGGGGGGGCTTTGAGGTACCTGGTGGGCCTGGTGGGAGTTTAGTCCCTGGTGGGAGAGGGGTTCTCTTAGGTTTGAGACGGAGGATGAGGGTGAGCAGGAGAGACGCGATTAGAGCGTACGTCCAGAGTGAGGACGCCATTGTTTGCTGCTGGCCTTATAACCGGATTGTGGGGGAGAAAACAACAAAAAAAACTCACTCTTCATGAGACCTCAATCATCTTATCAAACACCCGGAGGGATGAGACCAGGACTCGGAGTAGGGGATCCGACCCCGCTCATATAGCGCCAGATAGCCGCATGCATTCCCATCGTGGCCGGTGGAACTGGTTCGTCAGGAACGGCACTTAGATGGGTCCAACCGAACTGTGCTGCTTACGCAGTAAGCACAACGTCGTTTTGCCTGGGTGACAACACAATGGCATGGGAAAACGACACCGTTCGATAGGCTAACTGTACATGACAAGGCGGGGGTCCCCTGCCTGTGTCTCGTGTGAATTTCCGATTCGTGCTATGTCGTGGCCGCGTTGTCAGTTGTCAAAAGACGTTTGAGGGGACACGGCATGAACCTGTAACCGGGATAGCTGGGGTCGGGAAAGCTATGAATAACGACCTTTCCGCGTCTGATCCAGGTATTCGTAGGTCGATACCTACTTCTAGTCTAAGGGGGATTGAGGGATGTCCGTACGCAAGGATTTTCTCCAAAACAAAATATCTGAAAATGGGCACAAAAGGAAACTCTCCCCGACAGGATTGAACTGTCGACCTCTCGATTGCAATGGATTAACAGTCGAACGCTCTAACCAGCTGAGCTAGGGGAGACAATTGTTACAACCAAGAGATGGTAATACTGTTGTTAGCTACCTACCAGTATATAGGACATACTATCAATATTCAGATGCAGATGTATCACCTTACCGCTATCCGCAAAGCTCATATCTGTATCTGTCCTTGTTTATAACAGTCTTTCTACCTACGCTCCCTCTGTGCTCTCAGCTGATCATACCGTAGCACACTATGCATCAGCACCTCCGCTCCGATGGCGCAGTCTTCCGGGCTCGTGTGCTCCTCCGGATTATGGCTAACGCCATTTCTACACGGCACAAAGATCATACTGGTCGGACACCGGCGACTAGCATAGACACTATCATGCCCTGCGCCGCTCACCATATCTCTCACCAGGCCTTCGTCCCCTAGCACACTCCCGGCTGCAGCACGCACAGCGGCAATACAATCCGGATGGAAGTTTACTGCCGCGGATGTGGTGTCTGTCGTCCAGTCCACTGCTAACTTGTGCTTGCTTGTCTGCGGGAAGGAGGGATCGTCAGCATTCCCGCCACTAGCTATAGCTGCAAAGTCCTTCCGAAGTTGTGCTTCTACAGCCTCGACGGTGGCGTCTACTGGGGAGCGGATATCGAGACTGAAGCGGACATTGCCCGGTATAGTGTTTACACTTCCTGGGGATAGGGTCAGGACCCCGGTGGATGCTAGAGCGGAATGCTTCGCTGCGACACGGTGCGAATGGGCAATGAGACGTGCCGCCGTCAACATTGCGTCGGCTCGAGCAGAAAAGGGCGTGGTGCCGGTGTGGGCGTCTCGGCCTGCGACATCGATGGTGAACCACTTGTAAGCCTGCACGCCCTGCACGACGCCGATCTTTTGCTTCTCCGCCTCGAGGATAGGTCCTTGTTCGATATGTAGTTCAAAATGTGCTGCTATGGGCATGGACCGGTGACTTGCTGGGACTGAGCCAAGGTAGCCTATCCGCTCCAGCTCGGATTTCATCGTCGCTGTGCCACCGCCTACTTCCCCGAGGTTGTGGGCACGTTCGAGGGAGATTTCCTCAGCCCAGACACCCGATGCGACCATGCTGATGGGGAAGCGGGCGCCTTCTTCGTTTGTCCAGTTTACGACGCCGACGGGATACTCTGTCTCGAGATTATGGTCTTGAAGGACCTTGAGCATCTCGATGCCGGCGTGGATACCCAAGATGCCATCGTACCGTCCTCCAGTCGGCTGGGTATCGAGATGAGAACCTGCACACGTGGGAGGCGCCTCATGCCGACCTGGACGGATGGCGAAGGTGTTGCCCATGGCGTCTACGGTTACTGAACATCCTAATGACTTGGTGGTTTGGACGAACCAATCCCGAGCTTGCTTGTCGGTGTCAGACAAGGCAAGACGAGACATACCCGTCTCGGTGGTTTGACTATGAGCGGGATTAGTTCTCTGTATGTATTGTGGTATGGTTAAGGTCACGCAGTCGTGTCACTGTATTGGTAGTGCCATGGTGATTTACAGACAAGAAGGACTGCATACCTTCCCCATCGCTTGCCGGTTCCCCATTGGCAAGTATGGTGGATATCGTTCATCAACCGATTCCGGTCGACCTGGAGGCTTTTCAGCTCATCCTCGCTGAGGCTTGCTGTTGATATCTGTGCCTTGCCTTGAAAAGCGGGGTGGGACCTGGATATCTTCCTCGTCGTCGTCAAGGCAGCCGGGGAGCGAGTTAAACTACCCTTGGCAGATCCAGACAAACTCAACGATGTCACTGTCCGAAGCATGTTGACTCGTGGATTCTGTTGTTCTTGACTCGGGTGTCGTGTCCCGAACAAAGGGGGTTGGGGTGGTGTTGAGTAGTCCACGGCATCATTCCGCTTATCATTGACATAGACCCCGCTCGCCGACTACGGTACCTGATTAGAGTGCAGATCTCGCTCCATGGACATTTCCTATTCTGGAATTCCAAGTTTCATGAGTTGAGAAGAGAGAGACACGTTCGGAAGCTTGCCGAACGAAGCTTGTGTTAGTAGATAGAGCTGATCAGGTTATAGGCAGGCTTGAACCAGAAGGCTGAAATCGCTAGCAAGCGAAAGTGCTCATGACCCAGGGAGAAGCAACGAAAGAAGACTTGAAGAACGTAGGGAGGTCACACCATTTCAGCTAAAAGTGGTGTCCTTCACTCGCTACCAGCTGGTTTCCATTCAGGTGCTTGGCACTGCAGGACTTACATGGTTACACATGTGTAGGGAGGTTGAGAGTGCGTGGTGCGGATTGTATTGAAGACAGGTGCCTCGTATTGGACGCTGAGTACCTGGATGCCAACGACGTGTTCGAGCGTGCGCTGGAGGTGCCGGGATATCATCGGCATATCATACACCCAAGTAAACCGGAATTACTCCATTTCCCAGACTCAACTGAATACTACCCAAGTCTTCGGCTGCTCCTGTTGCAGATGCTGGTGATGTCCATTACTCTCTGATCGATCGCCTCCGGGAAAGCTCATGAATCTGTCTGCTGCTAACCCGTTCGCTTCGGGTTGTCGTGACCCCTTAGCAAGCCGACTTGAAGCTTATCCATCTTGCTCATGTTGACTGATCCATGCGGAACTTAAGTTATTGTCCTTAGGCGGTCGCAAGAAGACGAAAAACTGCCGTGTTGTTGTTGTTGATCGATGATATCGGCACAGGGTTCCCCACTTCCCGACTTCCACTTCCCTTTTCGGAGTCGACTCCGGGGAAGTGGTGACGTCAATATCAAGTCAGACGTTGCTGCAACGCACCGCAAAGCAGCATTCCATTACCTGAGAACGCGTGTGCTGCTGCTCCGTCGTCCCACCATAGCTCGATGCAGGACAAATCACAATCAAGCAATTGCAAGCTTCAGAGCTGATTCCCACGTTCTCCGACACTACCAACCCCGCTGACGTCGTTGTTGCATGCTGTATTGAGCACCGGTTCGCATCCCAACAGTTTCCAGAGGGGGGTTGATATATCTTATGAAACAATAGCTGCCCTCTACATTCGGAACATACCTATCCTTTGACTGTTCCTACAAGTCATTTCACACAGACATCAGAAAACATGTCGAACATCATCCCCAAGACCGTCCAGGCGGCTCAGCATGCCGTCTTGGGTTCCAAGGGCGACAAGATCGCTGATATGGAGAAGAACACCAGGACACCCACAGACAACGACCGCCTCACCTCGGACTTTGGTGTCCGTCAGAGCAACACCGACGACTGGCTCAGAGTAGTCAGCAATGATCACACCGGCCCTTCGCTCTTGGAGGATCCGTTCGCTCGTGAAAAGGTACCTTACCTCGACACCTTGCCAGCCTAAATCCTCCCACGCTAACGAACCTTCCCAGATCCACCGCTTCGACCATGAGCGTATCCCGGAGAGAGTCGTCCACGCCAGAGGTGCCGGTGCCTTTGGTACCTTCAGAGTCCTCGAAAGCGCCGAGGACCTCACCTTCGCACCTGTCCTGACCGACACGTCCCGTGAGACGCCCGTCTTCATCCGCTTCTCCACCGTCCTCGGCAGCCGTGGCAGTGCCGACACCGTCCGCGATGTCCGGGGCTTTGCCGTCAAGTTCTACACCCAGGAGGGCAACTGGGACATCGTCGGTAACGATATCCCGGTCTTCTTTATCCAAGATGCTATGAAGTTCCCTGATGTTATCCATGCCGGCAAGCCTGAGCCTCACAACGAAGTGCCGCAGGCATCGAGTGGCCATAATAATTTTTGGGATTTCCAATTTTTACACCCCGAAGCCACGCATATGTTTATGTGGGCCATGTCTGACAGGGGTATTCCGCGTTCATACCGTATGATGCAGGGGTTCGGCGTAAACACCTTTACTCTGATCAACAAGGAGGGCAAGCGTTCATTCGTCAAGTTCCATTTCACTCCTGAGTTGGGTGTCCACTCCCTGGTCTGGGACGAGGCCCTCAAGCTGGCTGGCCAGGACCCTGATTTCCACCGCAAGGATCTGTGGGAGGCCATTGAGAACGGCGTGTACCCCAAGTGGAAGTTCGGTGTGCAGGTTGTCAAGGAGGAGGACGAGCACAAGTTCGACTTCGATATCCTGGATGCGACCAAGGTGTGGCCCGAGGACTTGATTCCTGTTCGCTACTTCGGCGAGCTGGAGCTCAACCGCAACCCGGATGAGTTCTACACCCAGATTGAGCAGGCCGCGTTCTGCACCAGCCACATCGTGCCTGGCATTGGCTTCTCGGACGACCCTCTTCTGCAGGGCCGCAACTTCAGTTACTTTGACACCCAGCTCTCGCGCCTGGGCGTCAACTGGCAAGAACTGCCGGTGAACCGCCCCGTGTGCCCGGTCATGAACTTCAACCGGGACGGTGCCATGCGTCACACGATCGACAAGAGCACCGTCAACTACTGGCCTAACCGCCTGCAAGCCGTCAAGCCCGCCAGTCACGAGGAGGGAGGCTACGTCGAGTACGCCGCCAAGATCGAGGGCATCAAGGCTCGTGCCAGGAGTTCCAAGTTCAAGGAGTTCCACAACCAGGCCCAGCTGTTCTGGAACTCGATGAGCCAGGTCGAGAGGAACCACATCGCCAACGCTTTTGCTTTCGAGCTCGACCACTGCAGCGACCCTGTCGTCTACAAGCGCATGGCCGAGCGTATCGCCGAGATCGACCTTGGCCTTGCCCAGCAGGTTGCCGAGATGGTGGGCGCTGATATCCCCACCAAGGCGGGCCGTGAGAACCACGGCAAGAAGGCTCCTGGTCTGTCGCAGTTCGACTTCCCGCCCGTGAAGCCCACCATTGCCTCGCGCCGTGTCGCCATCATCATTGCCGACGGCTACGACCCCGTTGCTTTCAACGCCGTCCGCACATCAGTCCTCGCTTCCAAGGCTATTCCGATGATCATTGCCCCCAAGCGCAGCACCATTACCGCCGAGGGCGGCAAGCACTCCATCTTCCCTCACCACCACCTCGAGGGTTTCCGCTCGACCATGGTCGACGCCGTCTTCGTCCCTGGCGGCAAGGAGTCCATCGCCACTCTGTCCAA